TATATATATATATATATAGCCCTATTAAGAAGATTGCTTTGGGGAGGAGACACTTTTGTGTTACAAGGGGAGGGACGGAGACAAGGGGTGTGTGTGGGCCTTTTTGCTTGTTTGTTCTTTACCACTACCCCGGTGTTGCTGCTGTTGCTGCTGTTGTTGCTGCTGTTGGGTGCAGTCTATTTGCAGCTCTGTCCTTCAGAAGGTGCAGGAGAAGCTGCCACGGCGGACGCCCACAGAAGAGGCCCCTGAGGGTGTAGCAGCAGCAGGAGAGATGCTGCTGCTGCTGCAGAGCAGAGACACTTTGATGCTCTTAAGAGATATCGCACAACAGGCAGCACAGCATGCAGCAGCAGAAGGCTGCAGCAGACACGGGGCCCTTTCTTTAGAGGAAGAATCTCCGTGGCTATACCAGTAAGACAACACAATAAACGGAAGGATATATAAGCTCGCCTCGAAGAGGGAAGGTGTCCTCTTTAAGTATGCAAACTGGAGAACGCTCTGCTGCTGCTGCTGCTGCTTCGTGCAGGTACTCTTGGCTTCCCGTTGCCTCTTCTCTGTCTAGTCTTAGGGACGGCAACAGCGGCGGCTGCAACTCCCGCCAGCAGCAGCTGCTGCCTGCCCCGTTTGCGTCGACGGACTGCAGCACTGCTGCTGCAAAGACACCTCACATCGTCTCCTTTAGCACCAAAGTAAGTGCTGCTGCCATATATGGACAACAAAGTAGACACTAAAGCAGACAAACAGCAGAGGAGACACTGAACAAGGAGAGAGCAGAGGAAACAGGCGATTGACGTGCATTGATGGGGATGGGGATCGGGAACGGGATCGTGGTGGGAGTTGTACTTTTTGTGTGGGGTTGTTTGCATGCAGCTGCTGCGGCTGAACTCTAAGGAAGCCCCAATGCGGGTACAACTGAGGGCGTCTGATGGTAAAGAACATTTTATTTTAATTAAAGGAGGAGATGGGGTGTCTCTTGACCTCCATATGCAAACCCTCAGACGTCTATTACTCCGCATCGTCCGTACCATTCCTGCTGCTGTTGCTGCTGTTGTTTCTGCTGCTGTTGCAGCAGTTGCTACTGTTGCTGCTGCACTTGCTGCACTTGGTGCTGTTGCTGTTGCGAGACAAAAATACACTTAATTATCCCTTCACAAGATAACGTTTAAGAGATACAAAAGCCTAACGGTGCGGTTGTGTGCTGCAGCAGGGAGGTCCACGTACCCCCTCCTCTGCTCGAGCATCTGCTGCATCACCTGGATCAGCAGCAGCAGCACCAGCAGATGCTTTATGTCTCCGTTTTTTCGGGGTCCAGCCTCTATCGTGCTGCCATGGTATTGTTGAATGGGTACAAGATGTTTGTCCCCTTTCTACTCTCTGCGAATTCTTCTCTGGGTCCCCCCTAGCTGCATCTCCAGCTAGTAAACGCTATGCGGCTTTTCTTAGAGATGCAGCAACAGCAGCAACAGCAGCTGCTGCTGCAGCACCAGATACTGCTGCTGCGGATGCAAAGAGGGAGGCGCGGAAGCGTTCAGGAGCAGCACCTGCAGCTCCTGATGCAACTGCTGCAGGAACAGCAGCAGCAGCAGCAGCAGCACAGGGGAGGAGAGCAGCTCACGGTGTGGGGCCGGCAGAAGTGTGGGAAAAGATATTTGAGCTGCCTGCCGCTGCAGTAGAGGAGGTATACAGCGAGTGTGTTGAGCTAGCTAGCTCTTGTCCTGCTAAACAAACAGCAGCAGCAGCACCCAGCAGCAGCAGCAGGGGCCTCAGCTGGAGAAGCAGCAGCTGTGGCCTGCTTGGGGGCCCCGCAGTGGCCCCTATTAATTCCTTGTTAGCGTGCTTAGCGGCTATCTCCGCAGATGCTGAAGAACTGCTGCTGTTCAGGAGACACTTTGCTGTCTCCTTAGCAGCAAATGCTGCTGTGGGGTATTGTCTAGGTATTGGGGACAGACACCTTAGCAACTGTCTCCTCGACCTACATACAGGCGAGGTAAGTCAGCCCAAAACCCTAAACCCTAAACCCTAAACTTTAAATCTGTATATTTATGTGAATGTTTATATTCTTAGTTATTTAGTTGGCATTTTAATACATGCGGTGGATGCCTGTTTAAAGAAGACAACAGGGGGAAAAGGTGCCAAATTTGATCTGCTGCTGCTGTTGCTGCTGCTGTGTGTTTACAGTGTATAGACATTGACTTTGGCTATGCCTTTGACTTTGCTGTCTATGGGCTGCCAGTGCCCGAAATGTCTCCTTTTCGTCTGTCCCCTTGTCTCCTCCGTGTTGTGGGGCCCCCTGGTGCACGGGAGTACTCGCTGCTGCAGTCTCCTTTCTTCAAGCAATACAGCAGCAGCAGCAGCTGCAGGCTCTCCCGTGCCTCAGCAGCAACTGCAGGAACAACAGCTGCTGCTGCTTCCGCTGCAGTACCAGTGCATGCATGGGCATCAGGCGCTTTGGGGCTTTTCGAGCACCGCCTTGCAGCAGCATTGGAGTGTCTGCGTAACCAAAGAGACTTTTTGCATGCAGCTGTTGAGTTGTTTGTCCGAGACCCCGCAGCTCTCTATCGCACTGTAAGAATTACTCACACAGCAGCAACTGCAGCAGCAGTTGTTGTTGTTGCTGCTGCTACTGAATTCGTTAAAGAGTCGTATAAATAGGGACGTGGGGCTGTGGGGTGTTGGATTGATGCAGGCTGCAGGGAGGAAAGCAGCAGTGTGGGGTGAGGGAGACATGGGAGCGCTTGAGATCGCCACTGGGATCGCCTCCAGGCCTTCGTTAGATGATGGAGACTCCCTTGGACCCCCCACCGTGCGCCTGCAGACACCCAAAGCAGCTGTGTTGGGTGTATCTGTCTCCAAGTGTGGGGCCCCACACCTTGCATGCAACGCTCCCCAAGAAGGGAGAGGAACCACCACCAACCCCAGCAACAGCAGCGGCAACAGCAGCAGCAGGAGGGATGCGACTGAGGAAGCTAGGCACCGGGTGCTGACCACCTTAAAGAGAAAATTGAAGGGTGTACATCCATCCTTGATTCTCCTCGACCTCTTGCAAGACCATTGCCAGGTAGGGACAAAGTGTCTCTTTCCCTTGCCTTCTACCTATTTGCTGCTGCTGCGCTGTTGCTGTTGCTGCTACTGTTGCAGCTGCGCTGTCTATGTTATGTTTATGTGCTGCAGCCCTACATCGCCTCTGCTGCTGTTCGCCCCTCCTCTGTCTTGTGGGGTTTGGTGACGGGTATCGAACCCTTCAGGGCCCGATCCGCCCTCTTACCCTCCTCTTTCTCTAAGCAGCAGCAGCAACAGCAGCTGCAGCAGCTGCAGCTGCTGCAGCAGGAGGCTAGTTGTTATCCCTTAAGCTCCGCTGAGCAGGCACGCTGTCTTATAGAGATAGCAACAGACCCTAATGTCTTAGGACGTGCATGGGGGGGACTAACGCCTTTTATATAAATGAAGAAAGGAGACACCTGATTAACAAAATTTAATGGTAAATAAACTGTCAATTCATTGTGTGTTTGTGTAGATAGCAGTTGTAGACTGGATCTAGCTAGCTAGCTAGCTAGGAACATGTAGCTAGCCAACCAGCTAGATAGCTACGTCTAGCTAGCTAGCTAGGTAGGTGGGTAGGCTAGCTAGCTATATCTAGTTAGAGAGTTAGCTATATCAAGTTGACAAGGAGTTTTATGTTGGAAAAATTGACAAGATTTATTGCATGCGCATGCATTAATATGCTACTCAACAGCAGCAGCAGATGTCATTAGGCCGCTGCTGCTGCAGCTGTTGCTGCTTTTGCTACTTCTGGACAAACTGCAGCACAAGCTGGTCCAGCTGCAGCTTCTGCTGCTGCACTGTCAGCTGCGTCTGCAGCTCCTACTGCAGCGGGACAGGCTTCTGCTGCTACTGCTGCTGCAGCAGTTGCATCTGCTGCTTCTTCTGCTGCATCTTCTGCAGCACCATCTGCTGCAGCTTGTGCTGCAGCATAACCTGCAGCAAATAGCTGCTGCAGGAGATATATGATGATGGCATTAGCAGCAGACATTATTATTATTTATACTTATATATATTTATACTGTATAAAGTTAAGGAGTATGGGAGGAGAAAGGAGACAAAAGTGTCTCCTTTTTCCTTATCGAGGGGCAGGAGGTCGGCGTTGCTTCCTGCTGCTCTTGCTGCTGCACCAAGAGACAAATGCATCTTTATTAAGACACAATAGTTGTATAACAGTATTAAGGAGACAAGCAACAGCAAGAACAGCAAGCATCTCCTTATTAAACCAATTAGACCATTGGTCTATCTCATGAGTGGTCCATTGGTGTCTAGTTGTCTCCGCTGTCTCCTTGAGGTATTGAGCTCCTTGCTGCAGTTCTGATTCAATGCTGTTGCTGTTGCTGTTGCTGTTGTTGTCTCCATCTCTCTGTAGCTCACCTGCTGCTGTTGCTCCTCCTGCTGCAGTTGTTGTTGCTGCTGCTGCTGCTGTTGGGAAGGGGAGACCAGCAGCAGTAGTAGCAGCAGCATCATGCAGAATATTAGATGCAGAGTCTGATGATATAAACTGTAAGAGGGGACGAACAGCAGCACTGTCTCTTAATTGTTTATCTGCTGCTGCTGAGCAATTTATACTAAATAGACAAGAAAGGGGATTAGGAGGAAGCAGCAGCATACATAAAAAGAACAGCAGCAGCAGCAAAGAGTATGGCAGCAGCACACGATTCTTTGATACTGCAGCACGGAAGCAGTTGCTGCTGATGTATAAAACTGCTGCATGCAGCACGCATATACCTGTCCATATAAATACTAATCCTGTCTCTGCATGCCCATCCCAGCTGCATACTTCTGTCTCCTTTTCTGCTGCTGCTGCTGCTGCTGCTCCAGCAGGAAGAGGAGGACGAGGAGCAGCAGCAGCAGACAGTGGTACTCCTCCTGCTGTCTCCTCCATGAAAGAAGGAGGCAACCAATGTGGGGTGGCCGTATTGCTGCTGCTGCTGCTGCTGCTGCTGTCATTGATAGCTGCTGCTGCAGGCAGAGGAGACAGGGCAACAGCAGCTTCGTACAGCAGCAGGGGATCAGCATCAAGGGACAGGTATCCCTCAAAGTCGTCAATATCCACTCCTGCTGCTTCTGCTGCTGCTACTGCTTGCTGCTGCTGCTTCTGCTGCTGCTGCAGCATCGATCCTTCCGTGGAGGAGGAGACAGTAGCACTAAATCCAGACGTATCCACTGGTGGCTGCTGGTGTTGCAGTTGCTGCACTTGCTGCAGCTGCTGCTGTTGCTGCTGTTGCTGCTGTCCATTTCTATCTCGAAGGCGTTGTTGCATCTGCAAGGCATTAAAGCTCTGAGAACTGCTGCTTTCTTGCTGCTGTTGCTGCTGTTGCTGCTGTTGCTGCTGTTGCTGCTGTTGCTGCTGTTGCTGCTGCAACAGTGAGCTTGTCGCTTCTTCTGCTCTTTCTGCTCCTGCTGCTCTTGCAGCTCTTGCTATTCTTGCTAGTCTTGCTAATCTTGCTGCTTTTGCTGCTTTTGCTGCTTTTGCTGCATTTGCTGCTGCAGCAGCAGCAGCAGCATCAGCATCAGTTTCTTCTGGCTCATGAGTGTCTTCTTTGTGTGTCCAGTAGCAAGGAAGAGGAAACATATTAGGTTGATAGAAGAGCAGCAGCAGCAGGGCAAGAGTAGCAAGATCAACAGCAGCAAGAGAGAGAACAGAGAGTACAACAGGAGCAGCAAAAGGGGAGGAGACAGGAGGAGAGGATCTAGATGATAAAAAGGGACAATTATAAATAGGATAAGAAAAGAGCATAGATATAGATAAACCTATAAGAATAAATAAATCAAGAAAAAAAGAAGAAAATGTATTTATACCTGAATATTGTTGTATAATTAATAATAAGCTAGCAGCAGCAGATAATATACCATAACTTATATGTAATTTATATATATTTATACCTATTCTTATTGTTATATATCCTCTTATTATTATATTATTTATTTCTTTTATACATCCAACTGTCTCCTCTCTTATTTCCTCTTTATATCTGTCTCCTTTATTGTCTCCTTTATTCTCCTGCTGCTCCTGCAACAAACCTTGCCACTTCTTCCCCTCCTGCTGCTGCTGCTGCTGCTGCTGCTGTTGCTGCTGCTGGTGTTGGTCTGCTGCAGGAGAGGACAGTATAACAGCAAAAGGGGCAGAAGAAGTAAGAGGGAGACAACCCAATTGAGAGACAGCAATACCTACATCTGCTTGCTGCAGCGCAGGGGAGTTGCTGCTGCTGTCTCCTGCCATACATGTTATTAGTCCCCTTTTCTGGTACTGCAGCACGAGCAGCTTCTTGCCTAAAGGAGACACTCGACCGAAGACACGGATACGAGGGAGGAGTCGTGCAAATAAGGAGACAAAAGGGGTTAATTGTCCTTTTTTTGCTGCTCTTTTTGCTCCTGCTGCTGCTGCTGCTGCACCTGCTGCTGCTGCTGCTGAGAAAGGAGAAGAAGAAGGAGGCAATCCGCTTAATGGAGACCCACCTAAGGCATCTCTACCATGCAATAAAGTTGTCTCCTCTGTTACCTTCTTCGACCCCACAACTCCACCTCCCTCGGGATCGGTGGGATCGGGATCGGTGGGATCGGGATCGTGTGGGGTCCCGGGATCGGGAGTCGTCATAAGAACTTTTGCTGCAGCAAGTGTTACTGCTAATTCTTTATACTCTTGTGATCTATAAACCCTATTAGGGCTTATTATCTCCCCTGTATCTACATTGGTCCATTGGACCACGTGCTGCTGCTGTTGTTGCTGCTGCTGCTGCTGCTGCTGAGGAGAGACACCCCACGAAGTGTCTCCTTTATTATTACTATTATTATTATTAGTCTCTGTAACAACACTCCCTAATAACACTGGTACTGCTGCTGCTCTTTTTGCTGCTGCTGCTGCTGCTGCTGATGCTGTTTTTGTTGCATTTCCTTCTTCTCTGCTTGCTTGTGGTAGTAACTCTATATCTGTCTCTTCTTCTATCTCTTCCTCGTCATCTTCTATCTCTTCTGCTCCTGCTGCTGCTGCTGCTGCTGCAGTGAGCTGTCTCCTTTGGGATCGGGATCGGGATCGGGTTCGAGTAAATAGACCCGCCTGTCTCCCTACAGCAATTGCGGTGTATGGATTGTCTCCTGTTAATATAACACAATGTATACCTCCTCCTCTTAATTCTTTTATTGTCTCCTTTGTATCATGACGAAGTTTATTACCATATAATATAAGACCTAAGCAGCATAAGTTAGACTCAACCTGGGATCGTGGGAGACGACCGATCCCACCGATCCCACCGATCCCATCGATCCCACCGCCGATCCCACCGATCCCATCGATCCCATCGATCCCAGTACTACCGATCCCATCAAGGGTATCAATCTCTTTCTGTGTTAATTCTCTATAAGCAAGAGCAACAACATAATATCCTTTTCTTGCATGCATTGCTGCTTGCTGCATATAATTAGATGGTATTGTGTCTTTGCTGCAGACACGCAGCAACTCTTCGTGTCTTCCCTTACAAAAAATATACCCACGGGCCCCATGGCACCCCCCTGTGTCTTTGCATGCACGAGCAACAACACTAATTAATCCATTTGTCTCATTAAAACTATAAGGAGCTACTATCTCTAACATGTTTGCTGCTGCTGCTGCTGCTGCTGCTGCTGCTGCTGCTGCTGCTGCTGCTGCTTCTCCCTCCTGCTGCTGCTGCTGCAGTTGTTGCACGGTCTCAGGCCTAGGGACAAGAAATTGACGGGTCCTTCGGTGCTTCTGTAGATCTGCAGCCCACGCAGTTGTTGCACGAAATAGTTGCTGCTGCTGCTGCTGCTGTTGCTGCTGCTGCTGCTTGTTCTCTGCTAAGACAGCAGCAGCAACTTCTATTAATTCATATCCGCTTGCTCTTAGAGATTCTCTCTCTATGGTGGCTCCCTCGATTACTGCTGCAGCAGCAGCAGCAGCAGCAGATCCTCTGCTGCTGTCTGCTGCTGCTGCTGCTGCTGCTTCTGATATAGCCAGTAACTCTTCCCCCGTATAAATCCCTTTGCCTCCTAATGCAGCATTCTGCTGCTGCTGCTGCTGCTGCTGTCTTACCCACTGTGCTACTCCGTGTGCTGAATAGTGCAGGGAGTTGCAGCAGGCAAGACACTGACGCAGCAGCAGACTCATCGATCCCGATCCCGACTTTGTGGGGTTTGCTGCTGCTGCTGCTGCTGCTGCATCTGCATGCATAATAAGGGGTTCTTCTTCTTCCTGTCTATGCATAGGGATAGCAGCAGAGGGACTGCTGTCTCCATTGTCTCCTTGCTGTCTCCTTCCTTTGTTACTACTACTAATACTACTACTACCACCACCACTGCTGCTGTTGCTGCTGTTGCTGCTGCTGCTGCCTCTGCTGCTCCTTATAAGGGAATAAAATATTCCCTTATTTATTGTATGAATAGCAAGAAGAGACATTTCTTTTGTTGTTAATGTCCCTGTCTTATCAAGACACATAACTTGTACTCTTGCTGCTAGGGGCAGCATACCTGGTATAACAGCAACAGCCCTGCTGCTGCTGCTGCTGCTTCTGCTGCTGCTGCTGCTGCTGCTGCTGCTACGGAGACGGGCAGCATTAATACTAGCACAGAGTCCCCATAAGGCAGGGAGATAAAGGGGTAATAATTTTAATAATTTATCTGCCCCTTTATTTATTATATCTAGAGGAGACAATAAAAAAGGAGACTGTATAATAATTAAGGAGACAATTAATAATATAATTAATAATAATAAATAAATAAAATCTTTATTTAATTTATATCTTATTATATTCTTATCCTTGTCCTCCTCCTGCATCTGCATCTGCTGCTGCTGCTGCTGCTGCTGCAGTGTCTCCTCTCCTGATCTTGTTGCTATACCCCAGCAGCAACCCTCCTGCAGCAGCAAACCTGCTGCATCCTCTATCTCCTTATACTTTAATAGATCCTCCTGTCCCCTCCTGCTGCTGCTGCTGCTGCTGCTGCTGCTGTTACTGTTGTCTCCTATGTCATCCCCACCAACAGCAGGTCCTAACATCTCTGCCTCTAAACTGCTGCTGCTGCTGCTGCTGCTGCTGCTGCTGCAGTGTAGTATACGTGATGAGGTGTATATACACCCCACAGCATTACCTGATAAAGAAAGAGGATCTGCTGCTTCTTCTGCGGTTACCTGGCTTACATCGAACTCAGGCTCTGCTGCTGCTGCTGCTGCTGCTGCTGCTGTTGCTGCTGCTGCTGGTGTTGCTCCTGCAGCAGGAGAAGCAGCAGCAGGTACCTTAAGGACAGGCTTAGTCTCTCCTGTTAGATGTGATTCATCAACAGAGACAGCCCCATGCAGCAGCAGCAAATCGCATGCTAATGTGTCTCCTTCCTGCAGCAGCAGCAGATCCCCAGGGACTATATCTGCAGCAGCAACACGCTGCAGCACATAAATACTGTCTCCTCCTTCTCCTTCCCCTGTTGCTGCTGCTGCTGTTGTTGTTTGCTGCTGCTGCTGCTGTTTACGTAGACAAAATGCATGTATATTGCTGCGTATACGAGCTTGCTGCTGCGCTGCAGCAGCAACTTGCTGCTCTGCTGCTCTGAGTGTATATACACCATAAGATAGATCTATGAATGGCAGCAGCAGCAGCAGCAGCGCATGCATATTATTTATATAAAATGTTTGTATCCATAAGGATAAACAAATAAGTAAATAATATTCATCTTGTACTAATACAGTAATAATAAGAGACAATAAGGGACGCAGCATGCATGCATGTCTTTGCTGCTGCTGCTGCAGCAATTGTCTCCTTCTTAATGTATTAGGAGGTAGTATATGTTTATCTAGTGCAGCAGCAACTGACTCTGCTGCTGCTGCTGCTGCTTCTTTTTTGTCTCCTGTCTCCTTTTGCTGCTGCAGTGCTGCTGCTAAATCTCGTGCTGCTGCTGCTGCTTGCTGCTCTTGCTGCTGCGCTAAGGAGACAAAATAACCTTTTGCTGCAGCAAAACGAAGGAGACACCCAGATACATCTACAAGACGATCTGCTGCTGCTGCTGCTGCTGCTCTTGCTGCTGTTGCTCCTGCTGCTGCAGTAGATAATTTTTTTACGGTGTATATGCAGCTACCTACTGTCTCCTCTGGTGTCTCCTTTTGTATAGTGTCTCCTTTATATAATAAACCCCAATTCTCCTTCTCCTCCTCGTTGCTGCTGCTGCTGCTGCTGCTGTTGCTGCTGGTCGTCGTAATGCTGCTACTGCTGCTGCTCCTGTGGGCATTCCGCTCTACCTCTGCTGCTGCTGCTGCTGCTGCTGCAGTTGCTGGTTGTGCTGCTGCTGTATATATAATAATATGTGTACAATTAGATAAAGAAGAAGGAAAATAAATTAATTTATTTATTTTTTTCCTTAATAAATGTATAATAATTAACCAAGATAAACACCAAGAAAATACAGCAGCAAATATATATCCACGTAATTTTACGCATGCAGGGCTTGCTGCAGCAGCTGCTGCTGCTGCTGAATCAGCAGCAGCAGGAAATGACGAGAAATTTAATATATTTTTATATAAAAAAGAAGGTAAATACGCAGCAACAGCAGCAGGAGGAGACAGCCTACTTGCTGCTGCTGCTGCAGCAAAAGGCAGCAGCAAGGAGACACAAATAGATGCAGCAACAGCAGCAAGAACTAAGCAACCAATAGGAGACACCTGGATACCTTGCTGCTGCATGCATATACTGCCATACTTTATTATAGGACTTATAATAAAGGATGCCCTTCTTTTTGCTGCTGCTGCTGCTGCTGCTGTTGCTGCTGCTGCTGCTGCGCCTTCTTCTGCTGTTGCTGCTGCTGTAAGTTGATCTGTGGCGTCTGTGGGGTGTGGGGTGTTACTTGCTGCTCCTGGTGCTGCTGCTGCTGCTGCTTCTTTAGAGAGTGCTTGCTGCTGCTGCTGCATGCGTATATATCTATAAATAATAATACTAATTAACCAAGAAGCAACAAGAAAAGAAATAAATAAATAAAATAATAAAAAATAAAAAAGGAGACAAAAGGAGACAGGGGTAGTATAAGGAGAAGAAGGACAACTTCTTATATCCTCATCTATATATTCTTCACGATCTTCTATACTTAGGCTGCTGCTGCTGCTGCTGCTTCTGCTGTCGTTGTTGCTGCTGCTGATGCTGCTGTCGTTCCTGCTGCTTCTGCTGCTGCTGTCGTTGCTGCTGCTGCTGAAGGGGATGCTGCTCATTGTGTCCATGAACGGTAAGGGAGGTGCCATTGGAGCAGCAGCAGCAAACATAGCAGCAGCAGGAGACAGTTGCTGCAGCAGCAGCAGCAGCAAACTGCTAAGGACTGTAAACAGCAGATATGTAGGACGCAGGAAGCAAGCTGCTGCTGTTTTATCCCCCATAGCTGCAGTTGATACTTCTGCTGCTGCTGCTGTTGCTGTTGTTGCTGCTGCTGCTGCAGCAGCAACAGGGGTGTGCGCTGCGCTGCATCGATTTGCTGCTGCAGCGGGAGATCTTTCGAGTGTCTCCATCTTAGTAAGAGATTAAAAGAAGAAGGTTATTGTTGCTGCTGCGGCTGCAGCAGCAGCTGCAGCAACAACAGCAGCAGCAATAGCAGCAGCAGCTGCTGCTGCTACACTTGCTGCAGCAAGTGGACATGCGACGGTCCCTCTTGCTGAGGGTTTGCTGCCTATATAAGAGTTAGTCAATTATAAGTTGGGGTGTACATGCAGCTTCTTGTGTATAAAAGGTGTACTACTACTACTGCTGCTGCTGCTGTTGTTGCTGCTGCTGCTGCTGTTGTTGCTGCTGCTGCTGCTGGCGGCTGTGTGTCCGTCGGTGCTGCAGCAGCAGAAGCAGCAGCAAAGATCTCTACAGGATTGAAACTCTTATAAGGATATTTTATTTAATAAAATAAATAATAATTAATTAATTAATTAATTAAATAAAAATAAAAAAATAATAAAAAATGCATGCAAAGGTAGAGAAGGACGAAGTATTTTTAGCAGCAGAGCAGCAGCAGCTACAGCAGCAGCAGCAGCAGCAGCAGGAAAGGGTGACCCTGGTTGTGTATTTATGTACGTTAATTAGGGTTTTTGTTTATTTATTTTTTGTTATTTTTTGTTTATTTTTATTGAATTAATTATAATTAAATAAGTAATTATAAATAAATATAAACTTTTATTTATTTAATTCCTTTTTCTTGTATACAAGTGGTGCAGCAGTACCAATGGACCTGCGTATACACCTGAAACCACCGCGACCGCTCGCAGCAGCAGCAGCAGCAGCAGCAGCAGCAAACCTTTTTTCCTTCTTTTTTTCTTTTTTTTCCTTCTTTTTGCTTAATTTAAATATTTAATATACATTAATTAAATTATTTATTTATTTATTTATTTATATACAAAAAGGAATTCCTTTTATTAATTATATATAAACCCTCCTTATAAAAGAAGAAAAAAAAGAAAAAAATATGTTTGTTGTTTTGTTTGTTTATTCTTTATTATTTATTATTAATTATTTATTATTAATTATTTATTATTAATTATTTATTATTTGTTTATTATTTATTATTTATTATTTAGTACTATTTATTTATTAATTATTTATTAATTAATATAATTAATTCTTATTATAAGGAAATAAAAATAAATAATAGATAAATAAATAGGGAGGAATAAGAAGATACAAATAAATTTAATTCTTTTTTTATAGATAATAAATAAATAAATAAATTAAATAAATAAATTAAATAAATAAATAAATAAATAAATAAATATATAAATAAATATTAATACAAAAAAATAGAACTGAAGAAGTTACGGACGCTCTTTTGAGGGTTTAGGGTTTAGGGTTTAGGGTTTATGGTCAACTGTAAACCCTAAACCCTAAACCCTTCAATACAAACCCTAAGGAAGAAATAAGCAAGAAAATAATAAAAGATAATTAAAGAAGAAAAATAAACAAACAAAAGAAGAAAAAGAGAGGAAAAAAGGGGACAAAAGAAAAAAAGAAACAAAAAAGGGAAAAAGAGAAAGGAAAAGGGAGACAGATAAGGAGACAAACAGAGAAAGAGAGAAAGAAAAGGAAAAAAAAAGAAAAGGAAGAAAAAAGAAATTAAATACAAAAAATAAATATAAATATATATTTATGCAACAAAAAAAAGAAGAAAAAAAGATAAATAGCAGATAAACCCTAAACCCTAAACCCTAAACCCTCAGATATATCTACTATTACAGCAGAAACAAAATAACTCTAGCAACCCTAAACCCTAAACCCTAAACCCTAGAGCTCGTGGCGTTATAATTCCTCCAACTAAGATATAGAAAAAAAATATAAATAATATTAATTATATATAAATAAATAAATTAATAAATAAAAATAAAAGAATATTTATCTCTTTTTATTGCTGTATATATATAAATATATTTTATTTATAAATTATAATAATTAATATTTATTTATAAATAATATTATTTATAATATTTATATATACAAAGGGGAGGAGTTGTATATACACTCGGTC